TGTGCCCAGGTACGGCCACGGGGCTGGTGATCCCCCTGTTACCCCTCCCCTGTGCCCAGGTACGGCCACGGGGCTGGTGATCTCCACGGGTGACCGGACCATCATCGGCCGCATCGCCAGCCTGGCCTCGGGCGTGGAGAACGAGAAGACCCCGATCGCCATCGAGATCGAGCACTTCGTGGACATCATCGCCGGCCTCGCCATCTTCTTCGGGGCCACCTTCTTCGTGGTGGCCATGGTCATCGGGTACCCCTTCCTGCGCGCCCTGGTCTTCTTCATGGCCATCGTGGTGGCCTACGTGCCCGAGGGGCTGCTGGCCACCGTCACGGTACCTCCCGGGGGGCCAACGGGGGGACAGGAGGGGCCACCGCAACCTGGGGAGGCTCAGGGGCCTGGGGGGGTCTCCATGGACCCACAGGCCTCACCTGTGCCCAGGTGGTCCCCGAGGGTGCCGGGGGTGCCCCGGGTGGTCCCTGAGGGTGCTGAGGCCCCGCCCACCTGCCCAGGTGTGCCTGTCGCTGACGGCGAAGCGCCTGGCGCGCAAGAACTGCGTGGTGAAGAACCTGGAGGCCGTGGAGACCCTGGGCTCCACCTCGGTGATCTGCTCCGACAAGACCGGGACCCTCACCCAGAACCGCATGACCGTCGCCCACCTCTGGTTCGACAACCAGATCCACGAGGCCGACACCACCGAGGACCAGTCGGGTGGGACGGGGGCCCCTGGGGCACCTGGGGACACCTGGGATACCTGGGGACACACCTGGGGCACCTGGATCCACCCCCATATCCCACCTGGGGCCCCTCCCCGCACACCTGGGCCCCCCCAGGTGACCCCACCTGCCTGTGCCAGGTCAGAGCTTCGACCAGTCCTCGGAGACGTGGACGATGCTGAGCCGGGTCATCGCCCTCTGCAACCGCGCCCAGTTCAAACCGGGCCAGGACAACGTGCCCGTGGCCAAGGTGGGCACTGGGGGGACTGGGAGGGACTGGGAGGGACCACCGACCCTTCCTGGGCGTGTCCCGCTCACCTGCGGCCCCGCCCCCAGCGTGACGTCATCGGTGACGCGTCGGAGACGGCGCTGCTCAAGTTCGCGGAGGTGACGGTGGGGCCCGTGGCGGCCGCCAGGGGGCGCCACCCCAAGGTGGCGGAGCTTCCCTTTAACTCCAGCAACAAGTTCCAGGTGAGCGCAGGTGGGACAGGTGAGGACAGGTGAGGTCATGGGGGGGGTTATAGGGGTGACACAGCGCTGGGACAGGTGGGGACAGGTGAGGGGATGGGGGGGTGATGTGTGTGTTAGAGGGGTGTGACAGGCGTGTCCCAGCTGTGTCCCAGCTGTGTTCCAGCTGTTCCCAGCTGTCCCAGGTGTCTCAGGTGTGTCCCTGTCCCCGCAGGTGTCGGTGCACGAGGCGGGGGAGCAGCAGCTGCTGGTGCTCAAAGGGGCCCCCGAGCGGGTCCTGGAGCGGTGCCGGGGGGTCCTGCTGGGGGGGCAGGAGCTGCCCCTCGACCCCCAGTGGAGGGAGAACTTCGAGGGGGCCTACGCGGAGCTGGGGGGGCGCGGGGAGAGGGTCCTGGGTGAGTGAGGGGGGGGCTGGGGGGTCCTGGGTGAGTGGGGGGCTCGGGGGGTCCTGGGGGAGGGGGGGGGAACTGGGGGGTCCTGGGTGAGTGGGGGGCTCGGGGGGTCCTGGGGGAGTCGGGGGGGTCCTTGGGACCCTGGGGGGGCGCAGGGAGAGGGTCCTGGGTGAGTGGGGGGGCTCGGGGGGTCCTGGGGAGGGGTTCTGGGGAGGAGTGCTGGGGGAGTCCTTTTTGGGGTGTGGCTGGGAAGTGGGTGCCTGTCCCTCCCCGTCCCCTCCCCCCTGAGCCCCCCATGTCCCCTGACCCCCCCATGTCCCCTGACCCCCCCCCGTCCCCTGTGACCCCCCTGACCCCCCTTGTGTGCCCCCCCCAGGGTTCTGTGCCCGCTGGCTGCCCCCCGGGACGGTGCCCCCCGGGACGGACCCCGAGGCGCTGCCCGAGCTGGCCCAGGGGCTCTGCTTCGCGGGGCTCGTGTCCCTCATCGACCCCCCCCGCGCCACCGTCCCCCAGGCCGTGAGGAAGTGCCGGACCGCCGGGATCAGGGTGGGGACACGGGGGGACGGGGGGGACAGGGGGACACGGGGGGACAGGGGGGGGGGGGGGGAGTGTGGGGGGGGGGGGGGACACGAGGGGGACAGGGGGACATGGGGGGACATGGGGACACTGGGGGGGCATGGGGGTGGGGGTGGCATTGTGGGGACATGGGGACACTGGGGACATGGGGGGTGACATGGAGACACGTGGGATTTGGGGATGGGGAGACACGGGGGGGACACGAGGGCACAGGGGAGGACGAGGACACGGGGGCCACTGTGGGGACACGGGGGGACCCTGAGTGACCCCAGGTGACCCACAACCCCCCCCGTGCCCAGGTGATCATGGTGACAGGTGACCACCCCATCACGGCCAAGGCCATCGCGGCGTCCGTGGGGATCATCTCCGAGGGCAGCGAGACCCCCGAGGAGGTGGCGGCGCGGCTGCGGCTGCCCCTGGAGCAGGTGGACCCCAGGTGGGGGGTCCCGGGTGTTAAGGGGGGACACACGGGTGTCCTGGGGGGTCCTGGGTGTTTGGGAGGGACACACGGGTGTCCTGGGGGGTCC